TTGGGGGTAACAGTGGCTAGTCATGAGAGAGAAAATGAAGCTAGACATATCCTTCCAATGTACAAAGTTTGAAGTAAAAAAGGGTTTTACTTTAAAGAAACAATTATTCAAAGTTAAATTAACTAAATTTTGGCTAGCATTACTAAAGATACTTTTACATAAATCTTATGTTGACACATCAGATTTATATAAAAATAATAATAACAAAAGTTCTATTTGCAATCCTCTTCCAGAGTGCAAAATTAGAATTATTTGTATGACAATTATCGATTTTTTATTTTTTTGAAAAACCCTACATAAGACTCATTTGTGCGAGATGCAATACATGGTATATATGGCACGACTCTTTCACCCGTTCAATAGTAAAAATAGAGATTAGAGAACATTTAAAGAGACAAAAATAAGGATCTGAGAAGCACACTCTTTTTTATTTTCTTAACATTAATCCATTTTCACAACACTCTTAACAAAGAAGGAATATGGATGTCTTCTTTTATTTACCAAAAACCAAAACACAAAGGAACAAAAATGCAATATGTTGCATCCAAAAGAAAAACAAAACATAGCCATTTCCACAGCGGAGGGCTAATTGCCATGACACCACGTCATCAAAACTTTTGATGCGAGTGAAGGCAAAGCTAGCATTATTGAAGAAAGCACTTCAAATCCTTGGGTTGCTTGGGTTAATGCTTGGGTTGCTTGAGTTGCTTGGGTTGACGTTTGTGTTGCTTGGGTTACTGTTTGGGTCATTTGGGCTGTTCATTCCCAAAGTGCTCTTAACCGCTTCAGCTGCTCCTTGAGCCATGTTTTTCACTTGCTCACTTGTCTGCAATCAAACACACTTGTAACATACATATATATATACAAGAATATAGTTATATTAATCACATTTCCGGTTTGTCATTTTGTATTTATTACGTTAATGTATTTGATAATAATAATATTTTAAACTATCCTAATGTACAGGGAATGAGTTCGAACTCGAGTGCAAGGGGGCATATACATCGCCTTGACCAATTGACCTAACCTACATTTACATTATGAGAATGTTTTAATATAATAAAAAGTGAATTTGGAGTACTGAAAGATAATCATAGAGTGAGGTTGATTGGACTAGCTTTTTTCTCACTAATTAGAGTGATGAGATGATACTAATTGAATTGGCTTATCTGTTTGATTAAATTCTGAGTAACTTCTTATGCTATATATATTTAAGAACAAAAATCGTTGAAATAATAAGGAAAGGGGAGGAAGTGATTGCCTGTTGAAGGAGATGGGTGGCTTGGTCCTTGATGTCTTGGGCAGTGTGAGATGCATCTGATGCCTTGTTTTGGGCAGACTGAGATGCATTTGATGCCTTGTTCTGGGTAGATTCAGATGCATTTGATGCCTTCTCCTGGACAGACTGAGACGCATTTGATGCCTTATTCTGGACAGATTGAGACATATCTGATGCCTTATTCTGGACAGATTGAGACATATTTGATGCCTGGTTTAGAAACTCATCTTTCTTTACCTGCACAAGTTAATTAGATCAGGAAAATTTTTATAAAAAAACATGGATTAACTTGATGGGATGAAAAATTGATAACAAATCACCAACCCTAATTTCATATTATTACAAAATTAATCACAGTTATAACTTGCCTGAGCTTGACCAGTCAACTCGCCTGCCTTGTGGCTCAAATCCTGATTTTGGTGGCTTGCCATTTTTGTGCTTGATTTTGTTTCTTCACTCAAATTGAATTAAATTTCAAAGTAAGAATGCACAATGCAAAGCTCTTCCATTTGAAGAGTATATATAGATTCTCAAAGTCTCCTATTCTTGCCACTTCCTAGTTTCCTACCTCATTTTTTTGCGTTTAATCAGTAGCATGGATGGCATGTATTGATAGGACTGTTTCAAACAGGTTTGCTTAGTCAAGAAAGAGAGTCCCTTGGCATAGGCTCCGGGATAATTAATCAAGCTTAATTATCATAATAAATTAATGGCTTATTTTCTTTCAAATAATAAACCGCTCTCATATGTATATACGTGCATCAGCCTTCTCTTTTCAATCAACTTATTATGTGGTTTAATTCATCTGCCTCAAATTCAAATTCTTGTTTCCAAGATTATGATGGTGATAAAAGTCTCAAACTATGATCTTTGTTTCGAAGATGATGATGATCAAAGTCAACAATGGTTGTACAACGACAAGCTTAACTGTTTAGGATTAACTACAGTGATTTTGAATAATTAAGCTCCTTTTTTTTTTTAAATTCTAAAGTAAATTAACTAAATTATAACCCAAGTTGAAATTGATTATTTAATTATTTATGATGTGGCACGTGTCGTATCAATTGGGACTCAAATTTGGTGCATACATTTGGTGTCCCTAGCATTAGCATAATAGGAAACACTCATCCGAAGTAGTGGGAGGAAAATACTCTAAATCTTTTTATTAAAAGAAAATACTTATTGAATTGAAATTAAACATTTTAACCCAATATTTATAACATACTAAGAAAATTATGCCAATGGGTAGTGAAAAAAGGCCTTGACTTATAGACCAAAAGCCTCAAGTTCGAACCCTATGGCATCTTAGTTGTGTGTGTATGTGAGAAATCCCCCTCCCTTGTAATTTAGACTATCGTTTGTACTATAAAAAAAAATTATTAACTAGTGATCTTTAAATTATTAAACCCAAATTATAGGTTTCTAGCTATTTCTATTTTTGGCTAACATTATTCGTGAAACAACTCATCTCTATTAGA